AGATAAATGTAACAATGAATTTGGAATTAAATTTCTTTAACTAAAGATAAGTTAGTTTTTAGGATTTTCCTAAAATTCTAGTCCCTCAAGATAAATGTTGTAAAAGAAACACGTTTTTGTAATTGAAACATGTACGTTTTATATCTATTCGTTTGTATAGAACTTAAAGTTGTAGCTCGCTTTTGATCTATTTTGGAAGGTGTGTTATGATGATTTACTTGATTATCCTGTTATCTTGTGTTATATTATAAAAGTACAATATTTTTTGTGACAATTTTATCAAACTTTTCTCTCGCAAAGTTTATATCAGCGTGATTCATGCAGCCAATGATTATGAACTCTTAGCAAGTATAATAGGTTTATCACACAAAAACATATAGTCTCGATCAATCTTTCCAGTACTCATGGGGAGATCAATCAATCTTGAAGTAATCAATTTAACATGCAGTCTAACTTCTTAGAACATTATTGTGGTTGGAACACATAGCAACATATAATATATCCAAACAACAAGTATCAAAGGGCATATGTTTTGATTCTTAGGTGTATATTTAATTATTCCAACATACTGATAAGAAATAATACCACCGCTATAAATTAAACTTGTCCACATGCAAAACACATATGTACCAATGTGTCAAGTGATAACTTCACATTAAAAAAATTGTTGATAAATAAAATTATACATTCGTCTAATAGGAGTATGCATTAATAAATCAATATTACAAGTTTAGCACAATGCATTTATATAAAAGAACAAAATATTTACAGAGAGTTAAAGAAAAATTCAAAAAAAAGACATAATAGAACCCTAAAAAAGGACGACATAAAAATCTAAGTTTTACATTTGAGAAGAATTGTCTGTTTGACCAAATTGGTTTGATTATTAATTATCTTAAACTTTGAAGTAGGAGATTGTTATGGTAGGTATGTGTGGGTATGTGACCAATGTATTTGACCATATTTATAATTAAACTATAAAATAGGACCTATAAATTACAAAAATCATATTTTAAGACAATTTTTGGTAATATTTCAGTTCTAAATAAATTAACTTATACATTGATATGACAAATATAAAATCAAAATTATTGTAAAAATAATTCACGTGTAACGCACGTGTGTAATATCTAGTTAAATAAAAGCGTGGTTAACAGTGTCCCATGTTTTAAATAGAAAATTAATCAACAAAAAAAGGTTTATTTTGAAGTGGACATGTAAATCAATCATATCTTAAACCTAACTTTATGGTCTCAAATAAACTATTATTATTATTATATAAAGATTAATAAATCAGAAGGACTTTGTGACACCGAAAGAGATAAAGGTATGGTAGGCATATTTATCCAGACCACAACGGTGGGACCTAATGGAACAGGTGTCAAACGCTGGTAACAACATGGTTACACGTGTCGTCAACTTACACGCGTGTCGTATAAGTTATTAATAACACACGGTACTCATTATCGTCCTGTATTATCATTAATTAATTTTGAATAAATATATCACATATGATATTTACTGAATTGAACGCAAAAATTATTAGTAATTATCAAATTTTTGACATATTTATTTATAATTAATAGGTAATTATCAAATTTTTGACATATTTATTTATAATTAATTAGTACTATGTGACGCTGATAATATAATATCCGATAAGTACAAAGGTAAGTTAGACTCTCAGGATGGGCCGGTCTCAAAATATAAAGCATCGGCTAACATCTTGGTCATTGGCGTCCCGACTTGGGACTATGTACAATACAAATATATATACTTTAATATTTAATCCACTAATAATATTATACTCATTTTTTACTTTAAATATTCGCTTATAAAACTAGTAAAATTAATCTCAATGGGGGTGAGACTCGAGTGGGGGCTTGGATTTAACCCTTAAAAATTTGATCTGATCGATTTCAATTAGGGCCATTAATCAAATTGAGCTACTCGAGTTTGACTTGAATTCGGCTCGAGTTCAGCTCGTTCAGGTTCGATTCGTTTTTTAAACGAGTCCGAACTTGAACAAGTTTTTAGGCTCATTTAGAAAACAAGCCCTACAAATTCGGTTCAAACTCGACAAGCTCGGCTCGTTTATGTATAAATACTTGGACTCGACTCGAGTTCAACTCGGGTTCTGCTCGTTCAAATTCGGCTCGTTTCCTAAACGAGTTAAGGTTGAACAATATTTAAAACTTGATTAAGAAACAAATTTTTCAAGCTCGACTCGAACTTGACTCGAACTCGTTTGACTAACAGCCCTAATCTCAACCAAACTTAATCCATGTTCAACCGTGATACAAACTATAGACACAGTGTTCATAAACATTCATATATCATCCCATGAATCGAGGTCACACGATTTAAAACAAAATGGGTTCGTGATTTAAATCTATGTAATTGACCTCAAATAGCAACTCACCCCCCCAAATTAACTCATTATTTAAGTTTCCATCATCATCACCTATCACGGACTAATAACCCTAACTCGTTATTTTCTTATTTGGTGTTCTTTAAAGGACTAACAGCTAACATCACTTAAAAACTTGATATAGATAAAGTATACAATCTACACCATCAACTTGTCATCAATTGGTAGCCGTAGATTTCCAAATTGACAGCAAGGAACATCAAGCTTTATAAGGTTTCCTACGGCTCAGTCTGGACCAAACAATCCTTAGCCTCTTATCTCATTGTATATGCGACAACATTTTGGTAAACGTCAATTACAAAACTCATTAAGGCTAATGAACATAATTCCAAAACCCATTAAGGCTAGTGGACCAAAACCATTGAGACATTGCACATGTGCATGAACGAATTATAAATTTAAATGTTCTGAATTTAAATTTTGATAATACCTTAAGATTAGACCATTAGAGACTGTTTGGTAACAGGATATGAGAGGGTTTGACAAGATGAGTTTTGAAAAAATAGTCCAAAGTTGCCACAAATTTCACGTTTATATGAAAAATTTAGTTTTGAATTTTTAAACCCGGCTCGAAGATTAAAACTATGATCATGAGTTTCGTCAAATTTAGGAGAAAGTGTAGGTTTGGAAAGATAGGTAAGGGGTTAAGAATATAAAAGACAACTGTATCCCTTAATATAAGTATGAATTGGATTGATCAAGGGTAAAATAGTTATTTATAAAACAAATAGTTGTTAACAATTATAATATATCCATAGGTCTTACATGTATATGTGTTGTATACCAAATATGGGTATAAATCAGATTGAATGTTGAATCACATCTTTGAGAATTAGAAAAATCAATCCAAATCACTCTTCAAAATTCATCCAAACAAGCTTTTAAGAATTTATCTTTCATAAATACTTTAATCTCAGTGTAGATGATTTGTCCTGAATTGAACCAGAAACAAAATTAGTTAAAGTATGTGTAAGTTGACCAACACATTTCTAACTGTTGAATCAAAAAAATAAAAGAAAGATCCAACCTTATCAAAATAATATTGATACTGCTTATCATTTTCAAATTTTGTTATAAACAAAGCGTTTTGTGTTGAGTACTACTTTTTAGAACAATTTGGAGAGAAATTAATTTAAAAAAAAAAACAGAAAATGATGTGGATGCTAATGTTTAAAATCATTAAGGCAATTAGGCCTGAAAAATCATGTGGATGCTAATATTTCAAATCAAGAAAGCAATTAGGCTTGAGCAAGTTTATCCAAATGTGTGAACAAATCATTGGTCATGAGCAGACCCTGGAAATATTTTAAAAAATGGAAAGTTGCAACAAAGTACCAAACTATTCCCACTACACCCATTTTTTTTCTGCCACCTCACCAAAAAGTTAGGGCTTCAAACAGTACACAGAGAGGAATTCTTTGTTTTTTTGATCAAAACACAGAGAGGAATTCAAATACCAGTAATGTTGGGGATTCCAAATTACATCTCAAATAGGAGTGGACCATTAGATTAATGAATCTCATTAAAAAAAATTTAACGGGACTCACTAATCTAGTGTTTCACACTCATTTGGGATGCATTTTGGTTGGTCCGGCCGTGTACACTATACAAATTTAATATAAAATTAATTATTTAGACTCGAATAATTCTTAATCCAAATTAAAGAATAAAATGATCCACTAGCATAAATAATAAATATGCCAGATTTATATCAACTACGAACAACTCAAAAATAAGCATGTTAATACTTTTAACTAGTATATATTGGACATGTTTGGAATTAGCTTAAAATCTCAAATTTTTTTTTTTTGTTTCAAAGGAAAAGAAGTTTGGTCCGTTTGGACTAAGGCTTATTGAGTGAATTTTTCATTAGTTTTTTAGGCAAAAATAACTTTTATCAGTATTAAAAAAAACTAAAAAATAGAACTTATTGAAGGGTTTTCGAAAAATAATCGACTTTTTCAAAATTACTTCAAATGCTTCTAAGAATTTTCTTAATTATAACTTTTTCATTTTACTTTTTAAATTTTTGTTTCACACCAAAAAAAGTAAGTTTTAAATGCGTTCACTGTATATTTCATAATGGATGAATCCTTGTAAAATAAAAATGTTTTTTTTCACTTGTTTTATTATTATATGTATTTAGTGGATTTTCAATACATGAAAAATTAAGTATGTGTTTGGTTGAAAAGTAATAGACTTTGAATTTTAAATTTATAATTAATGGGTTATACGGGTCAAACTCAAATACAATATAGTAATAAACATGCGAAATTAGCCTATATAAAACATGGAGCAAAATTCATTAAATAAATGAATTAAAATTAATAATTGTTCAACATAATTTAAACACGACCCAATTATGGCCACTAATTAGACAAGGGCAGAAAAGAAACGGGTGCAGAGAAACTCCGTGCAACGAGAAAGAATCCAGTTGGGCACATATTCAAGGCCACAACAAAACTTGTGGCTGAGAAATCAGTTCAATGTTGACGTGGCATCCACATCCCCCTCCCTCCTCCTCCTTTATATTCAACCGAATCAAAACAAAGACCCCCGACATTGCCAACAGAGACTAAACCCAAAAAAGACATCAAAACGACGCTGCCGCCGGCGAAATCCACCACCACCACCGCACTACTGAATCACCGACTGTTTTTTGAGTTCGAGTTCTTGGGAAAATGAATGACTCAGAGATCAGGTTGTTTGGGAGGAATATTGGGGTGCCGGGTAACGCCAAGGTTCTGATGATCTCCGGTAGAGAATCCACTGGTGTAGTTTCTCAGGAAGAAGCCAATTCTAATTGGGATCATAGATTAGTGAAGAAAATCAATTGTTGTTTGGAACCCGAGAAAGTGAGGAGAGCTGGAGAAGAAAAAGAAGAGGAACAAAAACCAGAGGCTGAGAAGGTATGGTTTCAAAAACATCTTATCTATATGTACATACATGGTTTTGGCATTTATTATCTGCAAATCTGCAAGCGACCCAGTTACCAGAATACTGAGACAATTAATGGGTCGATCATACTTTTTTAAGTCTCTTTTTCTTTCAAATAGTACACTGGCAGTTTCTGCTCTTTGTGGTTCTAGCAATTTGAGTTTGAGGGTTCTTAGGGGTTTTATGTTCTTTGGTAAATTATCTATAAACTCAGACGGCTGAGTTAAAAGAGTACTTGTTTCTAAAGTCATATATTCCAGTCATGTTTTTGATATTTTTTTAATTTGTTTATGGATCTAAAGATGACCACTGCAAATATCTTGTGAATACAACCCATCTTTTCCTGCAGTTTTTTATCATCAATTGCTCGGGATGTTTGTTCTTTTTATGCGATTTTGCGATTGTTGTGTTTATGTTTTAAGAATAATATCTTCCTATATTGCATTATCTTCCTGGTTTTCTTGCTTAAGGTTGTTTTGGTTTTGGTTGTCTTGCTTAAGCTTGTATATGGCACTTTTATGTAGTACTTATGGGAAATTGGTTTTTGTCCAAATATTAGGATCTGACAGCTGGAGAATCCCATGAGGCTAAACTACAAGATAAGGCCCTGCCTCCGACTACAGAAAAATCGACGGACCAAAAAGTGCTGCCGGAGTCAGATGACAATCCTAAGACTCCCTCTATTGATGAAGAAATTGCAACATCCAATTCTTCAAAGACTGAAAATGATCAGACTGATACAACTAGCTCACAAGAGAAAACCCTGAAGAAGCCGGACAAAATTATTCCATGTCCCCGATGTAATAGCATGGATACGAAGTTCTGCTACTACAACAATTACAATGTTAGTCAGCCCCGCCATTTCTGCAAGAGTTGCCAGAGATACTGGACTGCCGGTGGTACGATGAGGAACGTACCTGTGGGTGCTGGGCGTCGCAAAAACAAGAATCTTGTCTCGCAGTATCGTCACATTACCATCTCTGAAGCACTCCATGGAGCTCGAATTGATGCTGCCAATGGAATTCATGACCCTTCATTCAAAACCAATGGCACAGTCCTTTCCTTTGGCTCAGATTCGCCATTGCTTGAATCGATGGCCTCTGTTTTAAATCTTGCAGAGATAACGGCAGCAAATGGTACGCGAAATGGGAATTACAGTTCTGAACCGGGAATTACAGTTTCTTGCAAAGGTGGAGAAACTGGCGATGATCGCTCTAGTGGATCTTCAGTCACTACTTCAAATTCAATGGCGGAAGGAGAGAGAAATGGGCTTCAAGAGCCAAAGGTGCAGATCATTAATGGCTTCCCTTCTCAAATTCAATACCTTGCTGGGGCTCCTTGGACTTATCCCTGGAATTCTGCTGTTCCTGTGCCAGCCATTTGCTCTTCAGGGTTTCCCATGCCATTCTTTCCTGCGCCGTATTGGAATTGTGGTGTCCCTGGTGCCTGGACAATTCCTTGGTTATCTCCAACATCTCCTACAACAAACCAAAATGCATCAAGCTATGGTCCGAATTCACAAAATCTGGGTAAACATTCAAGGGATGGGGACTTGCTTAGGGTCGAGTCCATAGAACAGTTGTCTGGAGGATCTGTGGTAATTCCAAAAACTTTGAGGATTGATGACCCTGATGAAGCTGCAAAAAGTTCGATATGGGCAACGCTTGGGATTAAGAATGACTCAGTTAGCAGGGGAGGGTTTTTCAAGGCCTTCAAACCAAATGGTGATGAAAAGAATCACATAGCCACACCCTCTCCATTGTTGCAGGCTAACCCTGCAGCCTTGTCTAGATCCTTTACCTTCCAAGAGACTGCCTAAAGTGATTGATATCTCGGTTTTCTTCATTTTGGAAGGGAAAAACAATGTTGGATTCAGCTTGCTGGTGTAACTCTGATCCACATTTGGCCATGGTGGGTTATGTTGATTTACCAGCTTCATTTGAACATGAAGACAGAATTATGTGACAGATGGAATTGAAGCGTAGTTTATTATTTGTCTCATAGAAGCCCTATTAAAACCCGAATATCTTCTTGTTGTAACATTAAAAACAGGTGCCTTTTTGTTTTGGTTGAGTGTGTTTCCATGTACATATCTTATTATAAGAAACACTGACATCAATAGGAGATAATTGTTAAAGGTATTTAGATGTACTAAAGTTCAAGATGTTGTATCTATGTAGGGGTCTTAACTAGTTTGGAAAGTGGCCCTTTTTCTATTTTCTTCTCCGTTTTTACGAATAAAGATCTCTCTTCAAAAATTTCTTCTACATATTTTATGGCTGTGTTACTGCAGGGTTGGTTGTGTTCCAGGTAAAGGCTCAAAAATACAATCATAAATACGAAAAGAAGCCAAACAACTTGGAGGTTGTTTAGTTCTAACAGCATGCGTCAAGTAATACAACTATGGTTCAAGGTCGGAGTATCGGTCATTGACTCGGAGAGTTATACACATTGGCCATGGCGTTGCGGTACAGTATCGGACGATATAACCTATAAGAAAATGTTAAATATGACAAGAGATTTAAGTCATATCACGACGTCGCAAAATTATATCAGCCAATTTGATGACGATAATTCAATGACTTGAGATTCGTTTGACTCAGATATAACTCGGATGACTAAGTTGAGTCGTGCGAAATTCAAGTTTTATACGTATCGTGTAACGGTATCGTCTCGAAAAGTGCTAAATCGAATACTATTCGGTCGATTTATATCAATATCAGCTAATACGGTTCGTTCGATTTTTATCAATATCGGCCAATATTGTGAACCACGGCCAATGCAAAGGAATTGAGTTTCTTACAGGCCACTTATTGTGTAGATAAGAATTTTAGAAAAGGCCAAGTAGTTTTCAAGACCAGAAAACTTGCACATGGTAGTGGCCACCCCCCCCCCCCCCCCCCTCCCTCCCTCCCTCCCTCCCTCCCCTTTTTCCTTGGTTCAATCCACAAAAAGTAATACTGAGAACTTTTTGTTGATTTATTGCACCACATCCAATGCAATCCAAATGTACACTTCACTGTCAATAGAAGAATTTGTGTACCTGGTGACTCCTTGATACAAAACCCAGATATTTTGATGTTAATTATCAGCAAATGCAAGCCACATTTTGCATCTAAGATAAGTTGTTATGGGACCCGAAATTCCAACTGCCCATAAGGCCATAAATCTTTTTGTCTTTTTTTTTTTCCTTTCCCCTTTGCTCTTTTCCCATTCACAGGCCATTGGGACTCGTGACTATGACATAATCTAAACTTGTGGCAATTACACATAAATAACACATCGGATTAGTCAAGGTTTCTCTAAACTCGAACTTAAAACCTCGAGATATTAATTACTAAAATTTTATCATTCGAATTACCCTGACAGTTTTTATTTTCTAATTTTAGTGTTTCGGTTAATTTATAGATCAATTCAATGGTTGTTCAAGATAGACATACATTAGGTATTTCTAGCGATTACATACCAAAAAATAATATGTCTGGTTGGGAGTGATTTGCAATTTAAATTGCAATTCTTCAAAGGTTGGCAACCCTGAAAAGTTCCAACTGCCTAATTATGTGCATCTCCTCTTGCATGCTTCCAACATATATGGCAAGGCGATTCATTTATCACCTAGCACAAAAATATGTTCTTTTTATAAAGATTTTAATTGGGTTTCAATTTAACCTGTACCGGAACAATTTTCTTGTCTTTTACGACATTACATATCTAACCAATGTTGAAATAGGTGCGAATTGATAGGGTTTTCTGACAATGGGGGTTGTGCAATGAAAATAATATTTTTTAGCAAAAAAAATAATTTTGGGATGAATTTTGTATCATTAGATCAAAATAGATGAAAATTGGATTACCCTTAACCATTGTTGTATTTTTATAAGTTAAGAATTTAATTTTTTAATTATAATATTAAATAAATATAAAATTATTATTTTTTCTAGTGATAGTTAAGTGGACATTTGGATTGCATTGTATATGTTGCATTAAAGCAACAAATAGTTCTTTATATTTCTCTTAGTGGATACATCAAAATCAAAACAATTTGTATATGGTAGCTTTTTGATACAAAACACAGATATTTTGATGTTATCAGCAAATGCAAGCCACATTTCTTCATGAGTTGTTACATCTGGATGGGACCCTAAATTCCATCTGCACATAGTGCCACAATTGCTTTTGACAATCTGTCTGCCTTTTACTTTCCTTTTTTTCCTTTTCCTCTATTGCTTTACAAACAAATATGCATTTTCTCTTTATCCAATTTGGCAATTCTAAATATGACTATTCAGTCCGATGCAAAACTTAAATGAAAATGGAGGGTGTGAATCTAACTTAAATGACTAACCAGAAAAGAAAAGGAATTTAACTTTAATGGGTTAAGTTATTAAATGTGTTGATATAAAATCGATTAAACACAGCATAACTTCTAAACACAACAAATTTGACATGTCATGAACACGATTACATACAGATTAGTTGTTTCAATTAGGCTCTCTAATCACTATCACAACATGAAACAATGCCAATTTTTTTTTGTTGGTTGTTGTTTTCCTTTTGGAGTATTGGGTGGTTTGATTATCTCCACAATCAATTTAGTGGCATATATCACTTGGATTAGGTTCTTCTGGCATTACATATGACCATTAAGTGTTTAAACCTTGTTCCATAAAGTTACACTTGCATCATCGAAACTCTTGAAAGTCAAATTGGGCAGACTAGTACATAAGATTCCTATCCTCGTGTAAAGAAAGTCAGATATATATAATCTTATTTTTGTACTCTTAAAGTCAACTTGCAAGTAAAAATTCTTGTAAGTCTCAATTTTCTTATTGTTAGTGCTTCTTATGTCATTCATTTAGTGGGGTTGAATGAAATTCTTTATCATACTTGGTGTCATCACATGGTGCATTTTATGTCCCACCAATTGGGACTAACCTCTTTAGATGAATTAACTTTAAAACCACATTAATAATGACCCTTTCAATTTTGAACTCTGAAACATATCGATGATTTTTGATTGGTCTATAAAAAGCAATCGTTTGAATGTGATATCATGAACCGTTTTAATCCCTACTAATGGCGAAAACAAATATCATGGTGTAGTCAATTGAAGGAATGCACAATCATCAATAATTTACGAGTAAAGTTGATAAGACATGTGAAAAAAACCAGTCTATTAGATGATGCTCATGTATAAAGTCTTACTTTATGTGTGAAGAAGTTATTTTCATTATTTAAACTTGTGACTTTGAAATTTGAATAAAACAATCTTGCCTATGCGCTAAAGTCTGATAAGACATGTCTATGGCCTAAAGTAATGGGAACCTACATTGAGGTCAAAATGGATAAGTGTTGGTGGGTGGTAATTAGCAAGTACCTCAAAGTCAAATCCCATTCTAGAGCTCATTACATGGAGATTCACCATGGCACGTGTTGGAGTTATTACGTGTACATTGAATTTATCCGTTGGGTCAAAGTTTATTGATAAAAAAAAAGATATATTAAAAACTTATCTTTACTTTGCAGGAGTATTAGTAAAATGAAGTGCATCAAGAAAAGGTAAAGAAAAATTATCTTGGATGGCAAAGCAAACTCCAAAAGAAAGTGTGGATGTGAACCCTTCACTTTCTTACATAAAGTAAGAAAAGGAATCAAGTGGACTTCCAACTCCCACCTTTATCTTTGATACTGGGATTGGGGAGACCAAACTATGAACTTGGTAGTTTTAATAAAGATGATAAAAGTAAACCAAAAGGTTATCACCACCATTAGCACTAATGTCCATGTTCTGTCACAATTTCAACAAAAAAAAGAATAAAAAAAGTAAAAAATAAAAATAAAAGCTAACAAGTGTATGAAGTTATGGATATAACGTCTTGGATTTATTTTGTACAATATGCTTATTTTCAACCACGTTTGTATGAGTCTAAACATATTAGGCAATGAATGTTTAAAACTCAAACTTATTAAACATTTTACTAAGCAATGTGAGATTAAATCGCTAAAATGCATATAGCAACCTTAGAAGCTCGTTACTAATCCAAAACCAATGCCGGCCCAATAGTATGAAAAAAAAAAAAACATGGGCGTTCGATTCCAAATTTTTAGAAGGTCTCATAATTTTAGGTACATCATTAGCCCACAAAAAAAAATTAAATCTATTAAATTTTAAACCTTACAAAAAAGTCCTAAAAAATTAAATTCAATCAAAATTTTTATTGCAATAATTTGGACCTATAATCAAATTCATAACATTAAAAACTTAGAAATTAAAAAAATTAAAAAAATATTTAAGAGTCAACTCATATTTACTCCCACTCTCTCTCTCTCCCTCTCCCTCTCTCGGGTAAAAAAATAAAAAAAAAGTTGAAATTAAACATTTTCTCTCCCTCTCTGTGATAAAAAATAAAAACAAAAATTGAAATATCTTTCTCGATAACATTAACACATCTTTATTTTGTCTCCCTCGCATATATAAAATTAAAAATAAATTAATTTTTTTAAAAAAATAATATTAAAAATAAAAAGACTTTCATTTAATATTTCCACTTTAACCCTTAAATTGACTTGAACCACCCTCTCCAAAACTTTAGAAGCTCGTTACAATGAAATTCGTTTAGAGGCTTAGAGCCCCGAAAAAGAGTTACCCCAAATTATAGTGGTCTTTAGAGCATGGACTAGGGTTTGGCCCAAAAACATGGTCTTTTGAGTATACTTAACAGTCACATCAATCACCTAAAATATCACACCCTCTCTTTTCATTTATTGTCAACGTAATTACTCCACATAATTAGAAAAATATTATGGAACCAAATTTTCATTTTTGGGTACCATGTGTTTAGAAAGTGATTTTTTTTTAATGTAAAAAATAAGTTTATCCTAAAAAATGATAAGGTCTTTTCTGATCTTCGACTTCTTTTCAAGTCCGTCAGACTATAGACACCCTCATATGAGGCCCTATAGAACTGATTCCAGTCTTCAAAAACACAAAAGAGCTCATAGGAAAGTTACTAGGAAGAAGGACAAATCACTATCCAGTTTGCATAAAGATTGGGATGAATTCCGCACTAATAATTTGGCGTCATTTATGGGAAACGACTAAAAAATTTTAGTGACTCCCATCATTTTTCTTAAAAAAATAACTGTGGATGGTGACTACTAAATCAATGGATGTTACCAGGGATAATGCTTCAAGGGAACAACGTCCCCATGAAATGCATGAAGGAGAATGCTTGACCTAGAAAGAAATTACGACATAATGAACTAGACAATTGAAGGTCTGGCTCAACAAATCTAGCAAACATTGAAAATTCTTGTTGGAAAATCTACCCAATAGGTCTCTTGTTTAGAAAAGACACCCTGCAACTAGGCAAAGGATAAACACATCCACAATGACACTCCCCAACAAGAGAAGGATGATTCCGTGGACCGAAAATTCAAGAAAGTCAATGATCGCATTGGCGATGTAATGAATATGATCAAAACTAGGGGCCTAGAGACTGTGGAAACCTTGATCCAGCATCTAGAGTCCCTCTTCTCACATGACGTCACACACTATCCATTGCCCCTAAAGTTTAAACTGGCAACCATTGACAGTTTTGATAGAAAAAAAAGGATCCCTTGAAAACTTATAAGTCTCTTATATTGTTCCACAATGTACCTGATCAGGTCATGTGTCGATGTTTTCCAACCACTTTCAGGGAAGAACTCATCTTTGGTTCAATAGACTCTCCCAAGGATCTATTGGATCTTTTGTACAATTGAACAAATCTTTTCTTTCCCATTTCATTGGAGAAAGAACTGATAAGAAGTCTGTCACCCACATGTTAAACCTTAAGTAAGCTAAGGGTGAATCATTGCAAGGAGCTCTGTCCTGAACCATTGCTCTAACGAGTCTCGTTTTCCCAGGCTCCTTCTACGAACATGACAGAGCTCCTTTCCAGAGCTCAGAGCCATATGAATTCAGAGGACTTGATTGCTAAGGAAGGAGGTGAGGATCGATCCTCAAACAAGAAGCAAAAGGACTAGGATAAGCCTTACAAGGCTAACTCTTTAAAGAAAGGAAGGACTGATCGTGTATCAACAAATTAAAGACTGTAACCTTGCTTCCCACTAGGCAGATTCTAGGGATACACCCCTCTTAACATCTCAATGGAGTAAGTCCTCTTCCAAGTGCAAAATGATAATATACCCAAGTGGCTCGGAAAGCTCAGAACTCCTTCTCACAAACAAGCTAGAGACAAGTACTACTGTTTTCCATCAAGATCATAGACACGATACAAAGGATTGTATTATTTTGATGGACCACATAGAAGAATTGATTCGACAAGGCCACTTAGGAAGATTCGTCGACAAAAATAGAAGGGAAGACAGACCACCGCTAGCAAAGCCTAGCGAGCATTAACAACCTTTAGGAGAAATAAAGGTAATCTCTAGAGGAGAGAGTAGCTTGGCTAGAAGAGCTTACATGGGAAGAGTTCAAACAAATGTTGAAGAAATCAACCTAATATATCTGGGAAAGGTACCCTGTATAACCCCGTTGATTACTTTAACAAATAAAGACCTCAAGGGAATTTGCTTCCCTTATAATGACCTTTTACTAATTTACATGATTACATCGAACCACACTATGCGAAGAGTATTAATAGATAGTAATAATTCAGCAGACATAATCTTCACCAACGCCTTTGACTAACTAGACATAGGGAGGCTCAATCTTAGGCCTATTAGAGCTCCCTTAGTTGATTTTTCGGGGGAAAAAGCTTATATGTTGGGAACGATGTCCATTTCGCTTTGCCCTTGGGCAACCTCCCCACCAAGTCACTTGTTTGGTAGATTTTTAGTGATGGATTGCCCTTCAGTTTATAACATCATCCTTGGGCAGCCAACCCTCAATGCTCTGAAGACAGTACCTTCAACGTATCACGTCCTCCTCGATTTTCCAACTAAGAATGGAATAAGAGAGTTAAGGGAAGATCATATTGCAGCCTATAGACTGTTATGTGGTTTCAACCAAAAATAGCAAAAACAAAGATGTGTCAAGTGAAAAATCTTGATCCAAGAGACCTCGAGAAGGTGAACACATCTCCCTTAATAAAGTAATTAGTTCTAATTACACTAGGTGAGAGCCCAGATCAAGTAATCTATGTGGTGTTCGAGCTCCCCATTCATGTTCGAAGCAAAAATGAAAAAATTTTGTGTGACAACACAAATGTGTTCACTTGGAGCCATGAAGATATGCCTAGAATTAATCCCCAGATGATGGTCCATAAGCTTAACGTGTACTCTTATTTCAAACCAATCAAACAGTAGAGGAGAACATTCGCCCTAGAAAGGGTTAGGGATATAACATAAGAGGTAGGAAAGCTTTTATTTGCAAGGTCTATCCGAGAGGTCCAATACCCAAAGTGCATGACTAATGTGGTATTGGTCAAAAAACACAATGGAAAATGGAGGCTCTGTATAGATTTCATAGATCTCAGCAAAGTTTGTTCAAATGATTACTTCCTTATGCCAAGGATTAACATCCTAGTAGAGTTATAACCAATTTTTAGCTCTTGAGCTTTATGGACGCCTTCTGAGGGTATAATCAGATTCGCATACATATAAAAGGCTAAGAAAATACATTTTTTGTTACTGAGCAATGACTATACTACTATCAAGTGATGCCATTTAGTTTAAAGAACACAGGAGCAACGTATCAATGCCTAGCCAATTGCATCTTCAAGGATTTAATTGAAAAAATCATAGAGGTTTACGTTGACGACATAATGGTGAAAAACCAAGTTACGGAAGACCATGTTGCTCATTTAGACGAAGCTTTCCAAATCTTAAGAAAGCATTAAATGAAACTAAACTCAACTATGTGCGTCTTTGAAGTATCCTCTAAGAAGTTACTTGGCTTTTTGATGTCCAAAAGAGGGATATATGCAAATCCTGATACGATCCAAGCTCGTTTGAGCATGTGCATGCACCCACCTCGCAATGTTAAGGAAGTAAGTGTTGCAATTTAGTCTTTTGGTTAACTTCTATTGCTCATTTCTTCACTTTCAATGCGGGTAGGTTTTGATGAAATGAGCAACAAAAACTAACAAAATATATTACAATACGTCTAATACATTGATAATATAAAGGTTAATCTCAAATTATACCTTGAAAGATCGTTGAAATTTTAATTTATAGTCTCAAAAATTAAAAATCTTAATTTATACACTCAAATATAAAAATTTGTATCAATGCGCACCTAAAGTTAATAACCATTAGTAATTACACCTCGTCCCTTTCATACTTATCACTTAATTACCTAAAACCCTTACATTTAAAATATTACACCTACATCCCTTGAGAATTCAAATATGACTCAAAATGTTCCTCCAATTGGGCATCCAAATAATTATGTTCAAATGATGTATTATATTAGATATAAAGAATATTATATAAATATTTGCATTATATTAGACATTCAAATGATAAACTTGATTTTGAAGTTTATAATATAACAGACCTACAAAATAAAAGATATTATAAAAATTATAATTTTTCATTAGGATAAAATCATCTTTTTTAACGGTTATATTAATAGATATCAACAATAAAGAGTTGTGTGTTATAATTGCACAAACGTCAAGAGGTGTAAGAATAATATTTTAAATATGAAGGGTTCAAATAATAAGTGATAAATTTGAAGGGGTCTAAATATAATTTATTTAATTAGTTTTAGACTTCAAACTGACAGTTTTTAGCTTTAGGTGCGCATTAATACAAATTTATATTTTTGAAAGTGCAAATTGAGATTTTTAATTTTTGAGGATGTAAATTGAGATTCAAACGATTTTTTGGAGTGCAATTTATGAATAATCCATAATATAATATAAGAAATTTAATTTTTAAAAATAAAAATTCTCAAATTTTTTGGGGGTACAAAATGCAATTCTTCGCGTAAACTTGCCCGTCATTGTTCACAACCTCTCCACAATTACTCGGTTACTCACAGAATGTCAGTCAGGTCTCACTTCCCTTGCTTCCTTCTCCGTCCGTTCATCTCTCCTTCTCAATAGAACCGTTTCTCTCTCTCTCCCGCCCTCCCTCTCTATCTCTCTACACACACACACTCTCGCACGCACACGAACAATACTTTGTTTGGTTGGTTTATGAAATCTCATTTATGACACCAGCCGATTCTCCCGCGAGTTTTAACGACCGAAATCACAGCAGAACCCGTAAACCAAGCAATCGTAAGCTCTGCCTCCTCTGTACTATCTCTTCCCTCTCTCTCTCTCTCTATCTCTCTGTCTCTGATCTTTTTGCCTGTAAATATTGTTCTATTTCTTTGTTTGAATTCACTATTTTTGTCACATTTTTTGAATTTTTGATAAATGACGCCTAATATTTCTTCCATTTCCTCATCTGGGCTACTTTTTTTAGGATGCTTTCTATATCTGTTTCTAGATATTTAGTTTTTCTCGGGTAGACAAACTAGGGCTTGAGAGTTGTAAAGGGTTGGGAATTTGAATTTTGCTGAAGTCCTCCAGAGGGTAGTGGTAAAGAATTTGTCCTTTTGTAATATTGGATGAATTTTCCATCTGGGTTCGTCCGCAAGTCTGTGTTTCAAAATCATATGATTAGTTTTGGTGTTTGGATGTCATATTGAGCCATATTATTGTGGGAACAGAGGAACTCCGTTAATGGTTGAGCATTTCACAAGGTCAAATTCATAAGGTATTGTCAGTTTCATAGTGCAACTTCATTTTTGTAATTTTATTTTTCATGTTCATAGCCTTAAGGTATTGTAAGTTCCATTGAGTTGCAATTTTTTTTTTAATATTTACTTCTCCTTCCCTTTACTTTTCTCATGAGTTTTGCTTTCAATGCCTGTGTTCATGGTCATTGGAGGTTAATTCTACGGCATTATAAGTGTAAATTGGAGGAATCTATGATAGTGTAATGCTTGTGTAAGGAAGATACATTTTCCCCTCCTAAAACACACATGCTCACAAAAATATTTCAAACTATCTTTGGATATTGATATCTAGAGTAAGTAGGAGTCTTTTAAGGGGTTCTCTTCTTTGTTTGCAAGATGGGGAGGGTCAAGCTTAAGATAAAGAGATTAGAGAACAGTAGCAACAGACAAGTGACCTATTCAAAAAGGAGGCTTGGAATCTTAAAGAAAGCTAAGGAATTGTCAGTATTATGTGACATTGACATTATCCTTCTAATGTTCTCTCCAACCGGAAAACCGACAATGTTCAGCGGAGCGCGCAGGTACTTTTACGGTTGTTAAACTCATATAAAATTGTTTTATGCTGAAAAACTTGGTTAAAAAATTAACTAGGAGTTGTCAGGAAGGAGCATCAGATTGACTTTTATGTAGTTTCACGCACCACTTTGTCAGTAAGTGGTGTGTTGGTAACTTGGCTCCGGGGATACAGATGCTGTCCTTGTCCTGCACAGTTATTAGTGTTAACTGTTATGAATGAATTCCCCCTAGTTTTGCTTTAAATAATGTGGAAAACAACTTTGTCATTTTTTTTGGTTATAGAAATTATTATCCAACTGCCATTTGATTAATTACCATGTTCTCTGTGTTTTTAGTATGACAGTCAGAAAATTCTGCCGGTAGACTTATGGACTTAAAGATATATATTGGAACATTGTGAAATCACAATCACACTTGTATATTCTTCCCTTGTGGGTTAGGTTTTAGGAAGTCTGTGTATAGACATATTGGAGGACCAGAAAGAAATGACAGACATTTTTTCAGTCTTAATCAGATGGAGAAAAACAAGAACAGTTGGGAAACTAACCAGTATCTTATGAGAGATAGATACAAATTCTTGCTCATGTATTCCTCAGAAAAATGCATTTACTTGGACATTTTTAGTACTAAGATTTGCCCAAGTAATTTGATATGCAAGGGTCTGAAACCATTCATCCTCTTTTTTTGAAAAAAAAACTTCAAACTTTGTCTCATGGAAGATAGAAAGATGCTATCCCAACAGGATGACTGATTCACTTGCTGATTTCCTTTGAATTTGAGGAGCCATTTAGTTTCAGAATTAATTGCTGAGCCTTGTTCATGGTTAAAAACCTTTTATTTAGAGGGTTGATTTGTGTGGTGTTTTCTGCCAAAGAAAATGAAACTACATATGAGATTTATGTAGGAAATGTCTTATACATGTGAAATGAATTACATTGCATTGTGTTTAATTTTATCTTGTTTATTTTTCATTTGACAAGAAAACTTACATTTCATGTTTAAAACCCTGTGTTGTACTACTTTGCATAATTGCATTATGTCATGAGCTTTCCAGATGTTGTCCCTTTAGAGACAATAAATGTTGATGTGTACATATAGTGCTAGTTTTTGGTATCAACCATATGAACAATATTGAATGTGTAAATGTATTTTTTTGCAGAAAAGTATTTGGGAGTATGTATTCCCTCCGTACTAAAATAATAATCTGTCTTGGGCAGCATCACAACTTTTTAGGGCCCTGTGTTTCCTGGGAATGAACCTGAATAATTTTTTTGGAATATCAATAGTAAACTTTGATGCTGAGCTCCATTTGGAAAAATCAGTTCGCTATCTGTGGCATATTCGCCTTATGACCTTTGCTTCTTCATATTCTTTCACCCTTAGTGTTCAACTTGTCAGTAGACTTGAGGAGGCTGATTCGCACGGTGTTGTTGGAGGTGCTGGTAGTATATTGGCCATCCCGAGAGACAGAGAGAGAGTATTGTACTTGATATGTTCCGTTTGCTTGCACATCCTACCTGTTTCAAAGTGAGCACCCGCAGCTGCTTACTTCTCCAATAGGTTGATTTGTTCTGGGAAGATTCCTTCATACAATCTGTTTCAATAGGTTTAACCAGTCCCTTTCCACAAGGAATTTAGGATGAAATCAGGACACTAGTTTCCACCCTTGCAGCCCTTCAGGTTGGGAGTCATACCCTTAGATCCTACGTTTCCTTTCTCTCTCTCTTCCCTAGCCTTTGACCCTAATTGCCATCGTCTTGAACTCGCTCAGTCTTTCGTCTTGAACTCACTCAATCTTGCGCATGTATGTGTGTGTACTACATCCTGGCAAAACTTGACCCTCCTCAGATTCTATGCCACCACTTTTACCACTATGCTTCAACTACCACTGGCAACTAGAAACTTTTATATATGGTTTCATTTTAGTGTATCTGCTTCAAATGTGTGATTCCAAGTTCTTAATTTGAGTCTCTACTATGTGTCTATGTCCCACTTTTCAGCAAAATTGACAAGTTCATCCAAATTTTTAGTAAGCATTTGTTCTGAATTAAATTAGAGTCTGATACCATCAAATGGTCTTGGATGTTGGCAATAGGAGTTTTAGATGTTTCTTCATTCCTCTCTCATGTAAAGAACCAAAAAAAAGTTAGGTTACAAGTCTATATCATACTCAATGCTAAAAAAGCCTTATTCAAGGTCTTAGGTCCGTAGGGTGGGCTACATGGTCTAGTTTCGTCACGACCTTCTAAGCTCACAAACTCCACAGTACAGAGTCTTTAAAAGTAGTTTGACTGCCTTTAATGGCTACCATATCACTTTTAGCACTGTGGTCTAGCCATCTGTCTTTGTTGTTCATGGACAAACAATGTGATTAATGTTTTTGACATTTTCTCCTGATACCATTATTGTTTTTCTTGTTCAGCAGCATTGATGAGGTTATTACAAAATTCGCTCAGTTAACTCCTCAAGAAAGAGCAAAAAGGTATGACCAAACACATGTTAAACCTATGGCGCTTTGTATTTAATGTAATTGAGGTTAAATTTGAAGGGTTTGTTTCTAAATTTTTTCCCGTTTGACTGGAGCAGGAAGCTGGAGAGCCTTGAAGTAAGATTGATGTTCTCAATCTATTCCTTTCTTTCTCTCTTTCTTTTTATTGAATGTATAAAAATGATCAATTTATTCTCATATTTTGGTGTCATTTTGAGAATATAGGCTTTGAAGAAAACCTTTAAGAAGCTTGACCATGATGTAAATATACAAGATTTTTTAGTCGAAAGGTAATGGTTATTTGAGTTAGTTTTTTATACAAACCTTGAAACCTCGAGGAAGATCTGATTGGATTTCTTTCTTCATTTTTCTTTCTTTCTTTTTTTTTTCTTTTTTCCCCTTGCAGTGTTCAATCAGTTGAGGTGAGCACCATTGTTATGCATGATCAGCATCCTTCTATTTTTATAAATTTTAAGTTAGTTTTACATTAACAGTTAAAATTATGTTATTGTTCTTCCTAATATGTTTTTATGTTATCTCGCTGCAATAGGAATTGAGTGCCCAAGTAGGGATGATGCGAGCACAACTCATAGAACTACATAGGAGATTGAGGTGCAACTTTGGAGCATTTAGTTGCTGAAGTATTGCCTTTTCTTTTTGGTGTTGTGACTAATAATGCTATCCATGGACAACTATGAATGTCGGATATGCTGTACATTTATATCCTCTGTTAGCTAATGTAATTTATGTAATATTGACTTGTCAAATAAGCGTAATGGTTGGCACTGTGGGAGCTTTTTTTTAACTATTTTTGAGGTTTTCTGATAATCTATTGCTCTCCCTCTTGTGAATCTGTGATACAAAAGTATACCTCTTAAACTTTCTATTGGTTTTTCTGAAAAATCCAATCTTATCCATTCTCTTATTCTTGGTTGAGGCCAGTTGATATATAAAGAATTATCGTCCTCTTTTCTTATAGTAATCTTTACCTCCAGACTGTCTAAACTGGCTTGGTATTTTCGAACTTGCATCACCTTGTACACATCATGTGAATATTTTATGCAAATTAGCGAATAGATTGCATTTATAAAATTAGCACTTCTTCTACTTGTTGTCCCTTTACTAGTTTGACTTTATTTTTCCCTTATAATTACAGTTTTTCCCCTGATATGTTATGGTTTTGCATATGTGGATTGGCAAAAACCAATATTGACCACCTTCATATAAATCTTACTATTCTTTGTTGCTTCAGCTTTTGGAGTAATCCAGATAAGATCGACAATGTTGAACAACTTGGGCAGATGGAAGATTCACTTAGGGAATCGATTAACCAAATTCGAGTGCACAAGGTACAATATTTGTTTAACTTAATCTTTTCATTTATTGTAAATCTACAATATATAAACCATGCTTTATGTTTTGATATCTTAGAAGTTAGAACATATGTAATATCATGTAGGTTTTACATAATATGTAATTTAGAGAATGCTAATGAATTTATAATGCGAAAGTAATGTTTGTTAAAATTGCATAGAGGGTTTTAGACTATGTCAGTGATCATTCACTGGTATGTTAACTGCCCCACATGTATGCATAAAGGCAAAGGATTGTGACATTAATTAATTTTGCCACCTGAAGATATTCTGATTATATACTCAATAATTTTATGGTAATGCTGACCCTTCCAGCTATGTCTTCACAGGAAAATTTTGTAAAGCATCAAATTTTGCCACTAGATTGTACTAGCCAGGTAATTTTTTTACCTGGTTCAAATCTCTCACTGTCCTCTATCTCTCTCTATGGTGTGACAAATTCTATTTGACATAACTCTTGTAACAGTTCCAGAATGGGATGCATTTGCCTCTGATAATGGGTGGCGATCAAGAAGGCCAATCCCTTACATGGCTTCCCACTAATGAGAATCATCATCTAGTACTTCCTGAGGAGCCAAACTTTCAGCCTCAAAGGTGTGTGAATGATGTAATAAATGTTGATACCTGTCTGCATAATTTCTTGACTTGATATGTAGAAGTATATTTTTAAAGCTGAAAATCTTGTTTTTGCCCATCACCATTATAGCTTATTTGTTCATGGTGTTTTTAACTTTCAGGGACATTATTTGTTCAGGTTAACATTCATGTTGATATTTTTATGCCCTTGCTAAACTTGCGTTCGGATGAGATTTTTGTTTGCTATTTCTGATAATCAATTGGATGACTATTCTTTCTTTGTAGGGATATGGAGGGTTCCACAGATGCCTCTCTTCTGAACTATGCTTGTTTCTTTGGCAATGGCAAACAAACACAGATTGAGAATGCAGAACTAGTTGATAGAATACAAGAAGGTGGTGCCATGAATAATTTAAGTAATCCTGCATGCTTGAGATTCCAACTCGACGAGCAGTACCCATACCATTCATATGGTAATCTAAATTTGTCGGAAGTGGAAAAATTGAAAGCTGAGTCAGAAGTGCATTTGCAAGGGCATCCCTTTGATTATCAAATTCATAGCAATTTTGAACTGCCTAAACTTATCTATGACAATGTGCACAATACTTGGGTCCCTGCTTCTGACTCGTGTTCCATCACCATGTTTAATGAGAACTCATACCCACAGGTTAGCTTTCTTCTGTTCATTTATGTTGCTTTGCCATGTTTGTATGTTAAATTACGGAATCGCTGCTCACTTTGTTTCTTCTCTTGGTGAATGGCTTCCTTTTTTCCCCTTTTCCATTTGTGTAGAAGCTCAAATCTTTGTTCTGATTTTCTGTTGCTTGGTAGCATAAATATTTTGACTTATCAGAGGAGAAAGGGAAAAAGAAGACAACATGAAAACTTATATAAAGAGGAGCCGTGTTTATGTTGAACATGATTTGCATGGTTATGTCAAACATGGCTAAGACGTTTCTATAAAATAAAAATGTTCTTTTGAATTTCCTATATATGAGAGTATGTGCCTGCATATAAATCTTGTATGTAGAAAATCCACATGACGGGCCTTGTCATATTTATGACATACATATTGTGGCTGAAAAATGAGGGGTTTGCAGCAATTATATAGTTATGGCTACTGGGTAATAGTTGAAAAGAGAGAAAGTAAGGGTTTATGAATGAGGAAGAAGAGGAGGAAAAAAACATGATATGAGTGCAGATGTGTGTGTGTGTGTTCCTCTACATACATACAAGTCTCCTCTCGTATATTTCCTTTTCTATGTCCTGTTTCTTCAGAATGTACAATGTTGGTGCGTCTGTAACTCATCTAAGCTGTGTCATGGCTCGTACTGTTGCAATGAAAGTCTTAAACACAGTTTCACAGGCTTTTCTTCCTAATTTTGTGAAGGTAACTGGCGTGTTTTGAAACAAAAACAATTGCCTTTATAGCTGTACCCCTTCGGGATTTCATTCTTCTTGGTGGCTATCCCCTTTTAGTTTTGAGTTTGCATTTGGGACCGGGGATTCTACTGAATAAAAGAAAAAAAATAAAGATTTTGACTCCAGTCTCCTTCGGCCACTACATTGTTTTGACCAATTCTGTCCTATGTCTTCTTTTCTGGATCGCCCCGTTATGATGCAAATGTACTCCATGGATTAACTGTGTTTACAATAAGATTTGATGTTACCAATTTGTACTATTTCTTGGTACTTGCCTGGCAGTTGAACCCAAATAGAGGAACATAAAATGGTGTCATCATCTATTTATCGTGTTGGTTCGAGGTTGGTTGGTCAATTGAAGTGACATTTGGTTCGGCTTATCTATCAGGTTTGTTTTTAATGGCATTTCTACCTTGTAAAACTAGCAATCTGATAGCCTAATTTGTTCTGATTCCTTCAAGTTGTTTTATTTTTTTTTTTCGCAGAAACCAATTTTTGCCCAGAGACTATGTTTACATCCTGTGTACAATTATGGCTCGGAGTTGATAGTCGTCGATGATCAAAATACAATTTTTGTGCCATTACGACATTCATGTTAAGAGGTATGAATCAATTCGTATCATTATCTGATCTAGTTATGATCTAATCTTAAGTAATAGACATGGTATACGATTTTGTGACAGAATTGAGCGATTATTAGATCAAATTGAGGCAAACTTTCCATGTAATTCGTTGAAATTCGATTTTATGGTGATTGGATTAAAAGTTCATTATTGGATTTTCATTTTTTACAAATTCAAAAATGGATTGGACAGATAACATTTGTTGCTACTATACCGTCATTTACAATTTTTTTATAAAAATACCCATTAAAGTTATAAAATGTGAAATTAAGGTACCTATTTTTTTGTTTGATACCATAGTCTTCTCCTCAAATCATATTCAGATTACAGTTTCAAGTCGGATTTGGTTTCTGGTACAAAATGTTATCTCGTCGTTACTGTGTTGCGTGGGGAAATAAATAATGTACTATTGCTTAGGGTAGGAAAGCAGGATTTATGTAACCGACCCCTAATTGTCGGGGTTAAGATTTTGTTGAGTTGAGTTGTTTTGCTTATGATAAAATGGAGGTCATATAGATAATGATAATAGCTATCTAAGATCCTCTGTACAAGCATTCATTCATTCACTCATGGCTACAAACCAGAAGCAAAGGAGAGAGCTTCATTTAATCTCTATTTAACCTCAGAGTGTTTGGAGAATTGTCTTGTGCCATGGGTAGGAAAGGTGCTGCAAGAGGTTGTCGAATGGGCCTTTTCAGCCACATTGTGTTGGATCACAAAGCCCTAGAATCCAAGCATAACCAATCTCCCAACAAAGTAATCAAAGTTAGAGCTCGATAAGAGGCCCACGGCTTGCCCGTTAGCCCAACTGCTCACAGGCAGTCCAACAACTTGTCGGGTAGCATCATTCATAGCCCGCTAGGATAATGGGCTCACCTAACGAAGGGCCATGAAAATGGTCCGTCCGGCAAGCCCGCGGATTAGCTCAGCTCGGGTCTTGAGCCTCATAAATTTCAAAAAAGGCGATGAATTACCCTTTGTACCCTAAAAAATTTTAAATTTTATATTTTACACCTTGAAAGATTAAATTTTTTATATTGCACCTTTCATATATCAAATGTGTTATAATGTAATTATACTATTAACTTTTTTCCGTCAGGATGGTTGATTTTTGACAAAAAAAAAATAACATAAGCTAACAGAAGGGTCACATTATAGTACTTTTCATATATTAAGGGTGAAATATAAAAAAACTAATCTTTAGAGGCCTAAAATGATCTTAAAATTTATTGGGGTGTGAAATGACAAAAAACCAACAATTAATAACAAAAAAAATGAACCACACGAGGTAAAACTCAATTGGTGGCCTGTTAAGGCCCAAGGAACAGACTTTGGATCATTTTGTGGGCAAGGCTGGCCCAATCATTGACCAATAAATGACCCGATTAACCCAGCGTGGGCTATCTTACACCGTTAACCAGCCGGCCGATCGGCCCGTTGCTGATCAATTAACGAAGGTATTGGCCGAGAATTATAAATTTGAGGAAGATAAAAGAAACTTTGTAAAGTAGCCTTACCATTTGCAATCTCTTTCTCCTTGGCCTCCAGGGTGGGTGCAAAATTCAGGGGATTGAAAATGCCACCAGGGTAACCAACCTCATTGGGAGGCAAGCTGTAGTTCTTGAAGATAGGGTCCTGATTGACACTGCCGGGGTTCTTAATGTCTTGCCACCGTCTGATCTCGACGTAATGGAACAGTATGAACTCAATCACGAATAGGGTCGACGACGATGCAAAACACTCGTCTTTCCCGGCATTTCAAGTTCTCGGGGTCCTCCGCAAGGCCCAATGGATCAAATACGATAACAGTAAGATTTTGGAGTGGGCTATCCATCATAAAACTCAAAACATTTAATGGGCCCAACGGCCCAAAAGACCCCTCTAAAACTCATCTGCTCCGCAATAAAGAATGAACCATAATTCAAACGAGGGAGCCCAGCAAAGAGTCCAGCTCGTCACAATCCTGCTCAGTCATAACGAGCTCAGCGGTAAACAACCCAAGAGCAAGAAGCTCGGTATTCATAAGACCCCAAATGTCCCGTATTACGCCACGTGTCCAGGGGGACAACTTCTGAAGCCTCTAACAAACGTGTACTCTTTTAGTAAAGAGAATATTTGTGCACATTTCATTGAAGGACCGTGGATATGGCTAATGTCAGGGTAACAGTCACCATTATAAGACAAAAAAGGAGGGGACCACAGAATCAGCCTAACGAAGAGGAAGATCGTAGAAAACCCTAGATAACCCCTTTAATAAATAGAACACCAGGACACTATGTAAAACTATCTGAAAAACCTCTACTCACAAGGTACCGTTCAAAAAAGCTCTAAGCTAAGAAACTTACTGTAATCTTCTTTTTGAAGTAATATAAACCCTACGAAGTAAGAGCCTCCATTACGGTGGACGTAGCCCTGTTTTGTTGGCTTAGGTGAATCACTTATATATTGTCTTTGATCTCGTATATTTATTCGGTTAGCTTAAAACATTCACACTACCCCTTCCTTATCTTCTAAATAAGTGATCTGGACTTGGGCTGAGTATTTTCGAACACTATCAGAATTCATTGTCTCTGGGAAGACTGGATCAATGTAAACATTGCGGGTTAAGGGTTGGATGAGCACTTACCATTGTCGATATAAAATTATAGGAATATATAAACAAAGTCGGAGCCATAATTAGAGTGGAGATTACTTGTGGAGCATTCCTTCTCCATTCCTTAATTCTCATATTCGAAAATCATTACATAGAAAAAATATTAGTTTCCTCTAATTTAATTCCACCACGAGGCACGTATGTAACCACTCCCACCAATTTTGCTAATTACTACAAATTTAGAATTTTAAAACATCAGTTAAACACTCGTATCATTTTGTTGAATACTCTAAATTCAGATTTCATACTAATGGGCATTTTTTTTTCAGTACCACACTTGGGTGGAAGTGGAAGGAGTGGAGGTGGGTAGACGATGAAAATTTCGTGCATCGCACAATGCGCAATGGAATTAATGACTAACAATACATGGTGCTTAAAATTACTACCTTCCATATCAAGGTATCCTGGTGAGGCTAACCATTTGCCTTTCTTAGCTACAACCTTGAAACAAATTTTTTTATGAAGAGGTCGCTGATGATCAAAATACAATTTTTTTATGAGACTATGTTTACATCCTGTGTACAATTATGGCTCGGAGTTGATAGTCGTTGATGATCAAAATATAATTTTTGTGCCATTACAACATTCATGTTAAGAGGTACGAATCAATTTGTATCATTATTCGATCTAATTATGATCTGATCTTAAGTTATGGACATAGTATACGATTTTTGTGATAGAATTGAGCGATTATCAGATCAAATTGAGGCAAACTTTCCATGTAATTCGTTGAAATTTGATTTTATGGTGATTGGATTAAAAGTTCATTATTGGATTTTCATTTTTAACAAATTCAAAAATGGATTGGACAGATAACATTTGTTGATATTCAACTCATGGAGAAGTCTACAGTATCGGAAAAAAAAATGATTCGGTACTATTCTGATATTTATAATTTTTGTGGGTGTTTTTATAATTTTTTGTAAAATCAGTGGGGAATGGGAAAAGTCCAAGACCCACTTTCGGGCGATGCCGATTCCTACTTCCTAAATCGAAGACCGACTTTATTCATCTATTAGCCCTCCCCCTTGGTGTCATCGAGGGGCGGTACACACAAGAATCAATTTCAAATGATCCCACAAACATTCTAAATGATCCTCAAAATTTATAAATGACTCAAAACTTGAAAATTTTGCTTGTCATAAATATATCTAAAAACTTATATCTTAATCCACAAAACTTATACAATTTCACGGTACGTTACTAATTTTTTTTTTGTTCAGTTCCGTAGTCTTCTTCTATATTTATTCAACATGGATACAAAATTGTGAATAAAGTTAGTAAATTACACTGTTTTCTAAACTGAACTAGACTTCGGGGGGGGGGGGGGGGGGTGAGAGCAGTGTGTGTGTGTGTGAGAGAGAGAGAGAGAGAACAAATAAGCATAAGAATCCAGAGACACTCTAACCAAGCACTCTTTCAGCTCTTGCCAAGTACAATCTTTTCATTAAAACTCAAATGTAACAAAGCAATGGGATTTAAAAATGACCAATGCACATGAACCAACAATGAAGTACTGGGAATGGTAATGATAAAAGCCCACCACTGTCCAGTTCTGTCTTCTTAAAAACACCAGCTAGACAGAAACACCTCATATGACCTAAATATGATTAGGACCACCTTAAAATAAAGCCCTCACTCATTTTTTTTTTTTGACACCAACCTGATTTTTCCTCTAAAAAAGGAAAATCATTCTTATAACACATCCTATAGACACACTTACAATATAAATCTCGGGTGTTAACAATCATTTGCAAACCATGCAAATAGTTAATCCGAATTTCATACATGCGGATTCAAACTTAGAATGTAAGAATTTAAGACTCACTTTTTTTCTAACTATTGAAAGGACTAATTTAGGTATAACACGACACGATGCGACACGAGTCATATAAATGCAGAGAGGGTGGTGGGTTTTAGATTCTAAGTGAATTGAACACCAGTAAAAGTTTGGCCAAAGGACCAGCTAGGAGGGGCAACATTGTTACAGACCAGAGTGTGGCCATCACTAGTGATGACCTTGAAAGAGAGGCTTTGGCCATTGAGGTAAGAGTTGCTTTGCCAATTTTGGCCCCAGTTTCGAGACATTGGTTGCCAATCAATGCTTGAGCTTGACCCTTTAATGGAAACAGCATGGACATCACCGGCACCTCCGACGTTGGTGATTAGGACTAAGTTGAAGTAAGAGTGTCCATTGATGGTGAATCTAATGCCTCCTCTCTTCTGGCAGGGTACCCTACAAATAATTAATAACCCATGACCCGAAATCAAAACTTGAACATATGTTGAACGATACATGCGAAATTCAAATCTCATCCAATACATTTTCTCATCATGAAAGTTGACAAGTTAGAATGATATACCATCGAAGAAATTGAGGAAATTATACTTGATGGATTTGTATCCGTGTTTGATACATATCAAACTTACGGAAACTTAAAAGAGTTAATTACATTGGAGGTCCCTAAAATATGAAATTTGTCTCATTTTAATTCCTAATATTTTAATTACATTGTTTTAGTTCTTAAAATATTGAATATATTTTTATATGATCCCTCAAGCAGACAATATTCAGATTACTAATAATATTTTATCATAAATTTGTCACGTACTATCTAAATATGTGCAAAAAAATAATTTAGATAACTCTTGACCAAATTTTTGTCAAAGAGCTATCCAAATTATACAGTTTTGATCATGAACTATCTAAATTTTGGTCAAGAGTTACCTATATTACATCTTTTGTGTCGTGAGTTACCCAAGTGTTGGTCAAGAGTTACCCAAATTTTGGTCAAGAACTACTCAAATTATTTTTTACCCATATTTAAGTATCACGTGACAAATTTATGATCAAAAACTGTTAGCAATTTAAATGTTATCTACTTGAGAGATCACTTATAAATATATTCAATATTTCAGAAATCAATATGATATAACTAAAATACTAGGAACCAAATGAAACAAACTCTATACTTTGGAGAACACCCTTTCAATTAACCCAACATATAAAATAGAAGGTAGATGGAAAAGGGTATAATCTGATAAAAGTTAAAGAGCCAAGTGCAAACCTTCTGTAAGACACAGGAACAATCCCAGCACTGCACCTAGCAATTTGCTGGAACACAGGCTGAGATAGGTCAAAGTGTTGTTGTGGAGGGTTACACCAACCACCAGCATTGTTTGGAGGGCAGAAATTGGTGGCAGTGACCACAATAGAGCCATGGAGGCACCACTTTGTGTCATCCACACACCTGATCTCAAAACAAGCCCCACAGCTCAAACCATTGTTGAATAGAGCTGTGCTTAAAGCTGCAGAGTTAGTCCCATAACCTTGGTTGTATAGGTTGCCATAACCGCAGGCCCCTCCTGCACATAAGAGCCATGGATTTAGTGGTTTCACAACTTAACAAATTTAGACCACGGCTTTAGCGCAACGGTATTCATTGTGATCTGGAAGAGGTCACGGATTCAAGTTATGAAACACAGACTTTCTGCTTGCAAAAGTAAAATTACGTACATCTAATCATTATCAAACCTTATAATAACAAAAGTTTTGTGCCTTGTATACAAGGTTGGCCCAATAGTTAGGCCAACTAAGCAGTCGCCTAAGGCCCAATTATGTTTGGGGTCGTCACCTATTATTTTTGTCTAAAAAGATATTTTAGATACAAAAAACTTAATCATATACAAATTTTTAGAAAAAGTCCAAGTAAAACTGGGAGGCCTAACATTCCCTTTCCAATTATCAAATCATTAAAATATCAAATGTCGTAATACAATTAAAAGCTATAAATAAATCTCTCTCTCACACACACTAACTAGTCTGCAGTAAAAAAAATTATATATTTAGTTGCCTACATCACTAAAAAAAACTCTTTTTTTTTCATGATCTGTATATACACATATAAACATCAAAAAATTATTTTTATATTTTTATATTATAATTATTTAATTCAATTATTTTTATGTGATGGTATAATTTATTAGACAATTTAAAAGATGAATAAAGAGTCAATTTATACCTTCTCTATTTATCACGTATTATTATTCCATTTTTATTAAACCTTCTTTTAGCATAACCATTTATTATTTTAATACTTTGTTTTGCTTATAAGAATTTTGAGTTTTAAACATGTCAGAGTGTAACTAATTTTAAATAAAATTTGGTCGTATATTAAAATTATATTTATAATAAATTTTTAAAAAATCCTATTTATAATTCTCGCTTAGGGTCTCGTCTGTTGTGCAGCTGGCCTGCTTGTGTATGTCTTTTTTTTTTAAACAACTTGACAAACGTAGGGGATGAACTATAAAGATTGTAGACGGTGATACATACCCATTGTACCAGAAGCATCACCACCTCCATAAAAAGTGGCATGAGCATCACTCCATCCCTCATCATACCCTTGAGCTGATGAGAATACAGAGAGAAAAGCCACCATGAAAAACCCAAGAGGAGACATTTTCCTGCACACAATTCTTACCTTATTGGGCACTTTAGGGACTTCCCAACTTTAAAGCTCTTAGAAATGTGAGAAAATGGTTATATCACGAGCAGCAACCTAGGAGGGAGAGGGACAGAGAGAGAGAGAGGGATGGGTTTGTGATGAAAAGGGCAGGGAATGCGGTGGGGAATAAATAGAAGCTGGGGTGGGCAGTGGGACTTCGTAAAGCTAAGTACGACTCTACTGAAACTTTTAGCTCTGGGGACTTTAAAACGCCAGGTGCAACCGGCTTTTTGTATGTGTAAACGAGGCAGTTTTGACTTGAAACCACGTGCTCTCGAACCTCTGCATGTCTCTCTGTTTGCGTTTGATGATACCTCAAATAAGTTATAAGAACGAGCTTAAAAAATGAGATCAGGTCAGGAGGTCGGATAGGATACGAGGAGTTCAGAAGTCCAGGGCCAGAGCTCCCTCAAGGGAGATGATAGCGGAGCTGATCAAGGAACAACTGAATAACTGTGAAAATTGAGTTCAAAGCATGAAACTCTCAACCAACCAAAATTCTTTTCTAAAATTAAGGAGAGTCTCACTAATGGCAAGCAAAGATCTCGGCTGAGATCCTACAGAATAGGAAACAGTCCTATAAATGCTATATAACGTCTCCATAGAATAGGGAGGAACCCTAATTTTTTAGGGGGACAGTATTGTAACACATTTGAGTAGTGAATAGAGGGGAGAGAGCAAGAGCCTCCATTAAAGAGTGGACTAGCCGAGCTCCTGAGCCAATGAACCACTATATTTTCACTGTGTATACCCCTCTGATCCCTTCTGCAATTCGTTCCAACATCACACACGAGCCTTGTAGCTCTGATCCATGCATATCATACGTCACCTACACTTTTTGCTCATCAACGTGGTCATATACCATCAGTTTGACGCCGTATGTGAGAACGATTGTTCCTGTAACAAATACGTTGATCTTTCAGTGATTGATGGTTTTAACCCTAAACACGAGCAGAAGCCAGACCAATCTACCACGGATGCAAGAATAACAGGAAGCCACCAACGATAGACATCCTGAAAACGTCCCAGGGGCAAATCCCCCCATTGGGAATCCCCACGCAAATAATGAGTTGGAGGCTCTTCGTCTAGTTAATCAACGTCTGATACAACAGAATGAAGAACTCTTAAAGCTCTTACAATGCCCTAAGGAGGCACGACTATCCCAAGAAGGCCAAAATAACCCCCCACACAGAGAGCAACAACATCTCGACCCCCTTAGAGAAGTTGGTGAAGGAGAGGAAAACAGTCAGACCTGGGGACAGAATATTCATCTACCCCTAAGGAATGGACGCAATGAAGAGGTGCAAAGTCAAAATGTTGGGGAAGGAAGGAATTATTTTTTCCCCTATCAACAAGATAGGAGAGAGCAGTACTGGGAGCAGCGCTTCAATGGCATCCAGCAAGAGCTCAGCCATATGAAGGAAGCTGTGAAAAACAAGGTCCCAGTTATAATGGATGCCCTAGTACAACAAACAGAGTTGTCATTTACGGCAGACGTGTTACATTTTTTCCTTCCCCAAAATTCAGAATTTCGTAGTTAGAAGCTTTTGATGGAACAAGGGACCCCATGGATCACCTAAATACTTATAAAAATCAGATGGAGCTCCACAGATACTAGGACCCAGTGCGATGTAGAGCCTTCGCCATCACGTTGAAAATGGTCAGCCCTATCATGGTTTAATAGGCCCCCCCCATCCTCAATCTCCTCCTTTAAAGAGCTTTCTATATTCTTTGTATCTCACTTCATAAGAGCTCGGATATACCGGAAGCCGAGTTACCACTTATTGAAAGTGAAGCAAGGACCCCAAGAGAACCTTAGGTCTTATGTCTAGCGATTCAACTCAGAGTCACTGAAAGTGGATGTCCCAAATGAGAAGTTTGTTATTACAACATTTATAGCTAGTATAGGCGTACAATACAAAGATCTGATGTTCTCTATTTCAAAGAACCCTCAGGCAAACATGACTGAGGTATTGGCTAAGGCAGAAAAATACATAAACGGTAAAGAAGCTCTTCTCTCAAAAGTGGAAAGTTCATCTACAAAAAAGGACAAAGAGAAAAAGGAAAGGAAAAGGGACCAAAGTCCCAAAAGAGAAAGAGGGCGTGATAGGTCTGCCATGGCTAGAGCTACAGCCAAGGTACACACCTCAACCGCTCCCCCCACTCACCGCAATGATATCTCAGATCTTATACGAGGTGCAGAGCGAGAAGTTTCATAGGTGGTCACCCCGGATGAAAGCAGACCCAGCAAAGAGAGATCCCACAAAGTATTGCCAATACCATAAAGATCATGGCCATCATGCTGATGATTGTATCCAACTGAAGAAAGAGATTGAGTTCCTGATCCAGCGAGGTCAGTTGCGCCGTTATGTAGCTTGGGATAATCAACACCAAGCTCTCCCACCTCTACCACCTCAGCAACAAGCACCGGAACCACATCAGCAGCCTATGGGGGAAATCAGAGTGATAGTTGGAGGATTCGCTGGAGGAGGAGAATCCAACTCAGCCAAAAAGGCTCATCTGCGAAGAATCAGAGCCAGAGAAGCTCCTGAAGTGTATGCTATGTCTAAGGCTCCACGTCTAGACACAGTTATCACTTTCTCAGACTCAGACTTGGAGGGTTGTCAACACCCCCATGAAGATCCCTTGGTGGTAAGGGTTGTGGTAGCCAACAGAACGGTTCATCGAGTTTTGATTGACAATGGCAGCTCGGCAGACATCATTTTTGCCTCCGCTTTCGATAAGATAAATATAGAAAGGGAGAAGCTTGAGCCAGTAAATGCTCACTTGTTGGGATTTTCAGGAGAAATGGTGCTACCCTGGGATCAATCCAGCTCGTCCTAACTTTAGGTGATCCCCCTTGCCAGACCGCAACAACCGTAAAGTTCCTGGTGGTCGATGCACCTTCTGCGTACAGCATGCTCCTCGGGAGGCCTTCACTCAACTCTATGATGGCTATCCCTTCTACTTATCACCTCGTGGTGAAGTTCCCAATAGAAAACGAAGTTAGAGTAGTTCGAGGAGACCAGCGTGTGGCACGAGAGTGCTACATGGCATCTGTGAAGAAGAGGGAGGTTGAGAATATCCAGCTAGATGAACTTGACATGAAAGATGAACTAGAAACTAGACCAACACCATCGGAAGAGCTGGAACCTATTCAATTAGACAAGGAGCCAGAGCACCTCGTCTACATAAGATCCAAGCTAAGAAGAGAAATTAAAGACATCCTTATCTAGTTCCTGAAAAGGAACATGGAAGTTTTTGCCTGGAAGCAAGAAGATATGCAAGGAATTGATCCCTCCGTCATCACTCATAAGCTCAGCATGAATCCTACTTGTAAATCCATTAAGCAAAAGAGGAGGAGTTTTGCTCCAGATCGCCAAAAAGCCATCAATGAGGAGGTCAGCAAGCTTCTCCACGCAAAGGCCATCCGAGAAGTAGACTACCCCGTTTGGCTAGCCAACATGGTTCTTGTCAATAAGACAAATGACAAATGGTGTCTCTGCATCGACTTTACAGATCTCAATTGTGCCTACCCTAAAGACAGTTTTCTATTACCACGAATAGATTTGATTATGGACGCCACCGCAGGGCACGAGCTCCTCAGTTTCATGGACGCTTTCTCTGGGTACAATCAGATTAGGATGGATCCTAATGACCAAGAAAAGACTTCTTTTATAACTGAACAAGGGACATACTGCTACCAGATTATGCTTTTTTGGTTAAAGAACGCTAGAGCCACTTACCAGCGCCTGGTGAATAGGATATTTCAAAGGCAGATTGGGACTTCCATGGAGGTCTATATTGACGACATGTTGGTTAAGTCACTGAAGGCAGAGCTCCACGTTGGACATTTAGCTGAGTCGTTCCAAGTTCTGAGGGAATACAAAATGAAGCTCAACCTTGCTAAATGTGCCTTTGGGGTATCTGCAGGAAAATTTTTGGGTTTCATAGTTAATAGCAGAGGAATAAAGGCAAACCTGGAGAAGGTGAAGGCAGTGTTGTATATGTTGCCTCCATCCAGCACAAGGGAAATACAACGATTGACTGGGAAAATAGCTGCTTTGAATCGCTTCGTGTCCAGATCAAGCAACAAGTGTCAGCCCTTCTTTTCGATTTTAAAGAAGGTTTTCCGATGGGATGTCCGATGTGAAGAGGCATTCAAAGCATTGAAAGATTACTTGACTCCCCGCCTGTTCTGGTAAGTCTGCTGGAAGGAGAGGTTCTTACTCTTTACTTAGCTGTCTCAAACTTTTCAACCAGCATAGCGCTAATAAGGGAGAAAGACAAAGCTCAACAACCAGTTTATTACTGTAGCAGAGCTCTTAGGGGAACATAGGAAAGGTATCCAAAGATAGAAAAACTAGTTTTAGCTTTGGTCGTAACTACTAGAAAGCTTAGGCCCTACTTCTATGCTCATACTATCGAAGTTCCAACAGATCAGCCAATGAAGCAAGTTTTGCATAAGCTAGAGTCTTCGGGGAGGTTGATTAAATGGGCCATTAAACTCAACGAGTTTGATATCAGGTACAAGCTAAGAACAGTCATTAAGGGGTAAATATTGGTAGATTTCATTACAGAATTCACAACTGGAATACCTGCAGAGACTACACAGTTGATACCTAACCTCCCCACATGGAAACTTTCAGTAGATGGAGCCGTCAATACCCAAATCAACGGTGCTGGTTTGATTCTGACTTCCCCCGATGAAATAGATGTTGAATATGCACTGAGATTTGGGTTTAAGGTCTCAAACAACGAAGCCGAGTATGAGGCAGTTATAGTAGGGGTCAACTTAGCATATTCGATGGAAATAGAGCAGCTTGAAATATGTAGTGATTCGCAGCTAGTGGTAAAGCAGATAGAAGGAGCTTATAAGGCTAAAGGTGAGAAGATGACCCTTTATCTTAAAAAGGTGCGAGACTTGATCAAAAAATTTGTGCAAGTGAAGATCA